CAAGACCACGGCCACACAGCCCGGAAGAACCACACCAGCCAACAAGATAGATTCATTAATGCTGCCCTCTGTAATTTTTATAATTAAATAATTAAATATCCATATCCAGAGGGAAGTCAGCTTGAAACCACTGCTCCGTGTTGCTCTGTTTGTGGTTTCTCAGAGGCTTCTGTATGGCCACTGTGAGAAGTGGATGCTAGATGAAGGAGGTCAAAGGTCTGACCCAACTTCAAGACTCTTTCTAAGATATTTCTCTGGCTGGGTGTTGTTTTTAGGCAGACAGTAGTTTCTCATTCTAATTCCCAAATCAGTGTGGTTCTCCAGAAAACATGTCTAGGTTTCCACAATATGCTAAAACCGGGTTAACAAAACACAGTTGCTAAATTTACCTAATATGCTATGCCAAACCAAAACATTACACACACTCTGGCTCACGGCATGTATTAAAATGGTAGCTGCATTCCCATCCTTTATACAGAATCATAGGCCAGCCATCCCCACTTTAGCTCTGTGAAACTAAGGCTGTGTGTAATTTCACATTTCCTGATTTCGTTCCAGTTTTTTATGTGGATTAGCCGATTGTATTCAATGAGATTCTAAGCATTTCAAAATCTGATATCCTCTGTGTTGTTTCCTAGAAAGGCATTGATAAAGAGTTTTACCTTTTGTTTGGTGTGTTTAATGAAAACCTAAGCTGGTATGTGAACACTAATCAGAAGTATCTGAAATACACATTGGGGAAAGAAGAACCATTTGAGGATCACATCTTCAAAGAGTCCAATAGAATGCATGGTATGTCTGTGCGCCCAATCTGGGGGATGAAAGCAAAACATCAGGCAACTGAGTGTCCTGTGCCAGCAGTTACAAGTGTAGGAGGTTAGAGGTCTTTATGGCAGCTAAATATCTCACCACAGCTCAGGAATGTGAGGCCTCGGGAAAAACAACGTTACTTCAGAAGTTAAACTTCCATGTGGACAAATCCAAGATCCGAGAATCAGAGCAGAGTATAGTCTTTTACCAGTCCAAAGATCAACCAGGGAATCAGAAGCAGCACTCACTGAGGAAGTCATGCCTGAGGTTGGAAGGCTGTTTGCCAACATAAACTCTCAACCTCTTATTTTATAGCATGACTCAGGCATGGCTATTTTCCTGAGTCGTGCCTGTTTTTCGAGGAGCCACATTTAATATCTCTGTTCTCCTATTTGGGCAGTGTTGTCCAAACTTGGCCACTTTAAGATGAGTTGACTTCAACTCCCAGAATTCCCCAGCCAGCCACTTGTCTTAAAGTGGCCAAGTTTGGACAACACTGTATTTGGGTATGAAAAGGGTGAGTATCTTTTCCTGCTCAGGTTCTAGGTCAGCTGACTCAACCTGCCGCTGTGCTTCTGTGACAAGTAGCTGATTACCTGATTGCTCCAGAACTGCAGGCTCATCCTCCAACAGGATCTGCTCTTCTGAGTCTTGTCTGCAGATGATCTGAGAGCCTGGTGGGTGCTGACTAGCAAGAATAGAATTGTCAAGCCCTGTTCTTCCAAGTCAGAAGAATCACCAGGCTCATCAGACAGGTTCACAACCCTTGGACATCATGGCAACTCAGATTTGTTGAGGTGGATGCAAATAATTTAACAAACCAACGATAAATGGCTAACTGTTGACATAGGTTCCACCTCGTCCTTTTCCTTGGTGAAACACTTTAGGAAAACCTACAGAGAAAAGCTTGAAAGCAATGGCCCTCCCTATTATTGCTTTTTACAATGACAAGCTGCTTTTAAGTAGACTTCCTCTCCTCTTTCCAATACGCTTGGCTTGATTCCCATCCTTGCTAGCCAGCATCACTAATGGCCATCCTACCTGAAAATTATAGGAATTAAAATCCAAGACATGGAGGTCCCAATACTTGGGAATCCTGGTTTACCCACTTTCCAGGCTATCTCAATTCATGCTTAACTTTACATCTTACAGTACTGAAATCCAGACATGAATTACAGTGCGCTGCTTTGATGAATTTCTCTAGAACAATAATGTACTGAGGGGGTGTTCTGCTTCCAATTAGGACTCTTAAATCCCTCAGAGTGGATGTTCTCAATGCTGTGTTCCAGTCTAGCAGCAGCCTCAGCTCTGATTGGCTGCAGTACCTTTACGTCCCTCCCCTCCAGCGGCTGGTCAATGCCCTGGGAAGCCATTTTATCCTGGGCTCCTGAGCTATGTTCTTGGCTGGTCGGCAGTTGCCATTTTTTAATAATCTTTTTCATTAGTAATTTATTTGTGCAATTTCTATAGACACCCATCTCAATCCAAGTGACTTGCGGTTGATCCAGCGATGGTCCGTTAAGTCAATGAACTATCCTCACCAGTGTTTGCCTACCTTCTGTAGAAGCCCACTGCACCATGTCCCAGTGGGCATCCTTTCAGTTTCTGCCCAGACTGGGTGAAGCCTACCCTCTTTCCCACCCCATGCCCACAGCCCTGCAAGGCTTCCCAACCCTCTCCTTAATTTATTTTTTTGAATATCTTTAAGTTGCAATGTAGGAGCCTTGCTGCTTTGTTTCTGTGAAGCTGAACTATTTGTTCTTCCTCACTTGCAGAGGAACGTAGGAAGAACCTGCTGCTTTGATTATTGCAGCATCAGATCAATCATGATACGATAAAAGGAAAAAGGAAAAAAGAAAGGTCTGCATTAGTATCAAAAGAGAAAGGAGGGAAGAGGTGTGAAGGCATCCATGTGTGCAAATATCTGGAAAGCAAAGAAAAGGCACAGGGGCTAGTAAGGAAGCAACAACCCTGACAGGAAAAGGCAGACACAGGAAGGGGGAGAAGCAGGCAAGCAACCAAGCAGGTCTTGTGATGGCCGTAGCCCAGATGTTTGTGCAGTCCTCTCCCAAAATGTCACTGGGGAAGGTGTCACCTGAACACTGAACTCACTGCTGATTTTTTCCCTGTTTTCTTTTGCATTGAAGCCATTAACGGATTCCTCTTTGGAAATTTGCCTCTCCTGGATATGTGCAAGGGAGACACCGTTTCCTGGCATCTCCTGGGCCTTGGCAGTGAAACTGACGTTCACGGAGTTGTTTTCCAAGGAAATACCATCTTGATGAATGGGATGAGGCGAGACACAGCTAGTCTCTTCCCTCACACCTTCACCACCGCCCTCATGCAGCCCGACAACCTAGGTAAATGCTTAACCCCATGACCCCTCTTCCCTCTCTCAGGACTGAGAAACCTGTGGCCCTTCACAGCTTGTGGAACTGTGGCTCCCCACGTCCCTCATTTTTGGCCAGACTGGCTGGGCTTTGCCACATCTGCCCTCAGCTCCTTCCCATATTAACTTTAAGATGAAGGCAGATACTGTAACACTGCAGAGCAATAAGGTCAAATGAGAAGCATGTGGGTATATTTATTTATCTATTTAGAGATTGTGTGTCTATCTCACTTTGCTTCTAGGAACTCAAGGACACATACAAGGGGGGGAGGTCTGTGTTGTAGGTTGGTCTGAGCAAATGCCCCAGGTCAACCAACTGAGCCCCATAATTAGGAGAGGACTTCTACTGGAGTTTTCTGAGTAGTGATCCGTCACTTTAACTACTACCCTACATTTGCTGTCAATAAGTTCAGAATAAGGAAACACTTCCTTGAGAGCTCAGCAGTCATGGCAGCAACTGGGCTGGTATCTGAGAAGGTATCTGCCCCCCTCTCCCAATCCCTGGAAAAGTTTACTCATTTTTTTCCATTTCTTTAAAATAAGCCAGAAGATGCACACATCAGTACATTTGGGGCGCTTAAAAAATGTTGGCTCATTGCCTGATCTGACAGAATTTAGGTCTGCCTTTCCCATAGCTGGTAGAGAAGCTTCAAAGATGTTTTTGCTCCCAGCCTGATTCTGGGCATCTTCTCAGTAGCTTTGTCTGTCTCCTTCTAGGGACTTTTGGCGTGTACTGCCAGACGAGCAACCACTATCAGTATGGCATGAAAGGCCGTTACTCTGTTCAGCAGTGTGGGAAAAAGGCATATTTTCCAGACCAACAGTATGGGGCAGCGAGAACCTTTTACATCATGGCAGAGGAGGTGGAGTGGGACTACGCTCCGGAGCGCAGCTGGGAGCTGGAAAGGCACAACAGCTCTGGAGAAGAAAGGTATCGGTGCTGCTTCCGAAATAGCTGCTTCTGGTGACTCATTTCCATGAAATGGGATGCAGTCAGTCATGCTTTTCCTTGCAAAGATACGTTTTGGGGGAATTCTCTTGAAAGAGATGTTTAAATCAATTGGCCTCCTAAGGCAAAATTTCAGAAGAGGTGTAGGCCAATTGGGAAGAATCCTGAGGAAGGTAAGGCAGCTGGTTAGTGAGCTGAGAAGAAGCAAGCCCTAGAAAAGGTTGTGAGTGTTTAGCCTGGAGAAGGCCAGTGAAGACCTGAAATGCTTCCCTCAGAAGAGGGCAAAGAGCTCTGTTGCCCCAGATGGGGTCTAGTGCAGCTCAGTTACTGGAGGATCAATTTTTGCCTGAAGATCAGAAAAAGCTTGTTGACAGTAAGCTCATCTGACACTGAAGCAAGCAATTACCTAGGGGCTCTTCTCGCTGAAAGTCCACAAGCAGAAGATACATATTTGGATTGAAGGCTCTATGGGCCAGCGGTGGTTCTCAGGTGGAACCAGTTTCCTACGTTGTGCCTCTCCTAGAATGGTCAGCCAAGAGAAGGGGGGAAGGACTTCATTCCCATGGGGCAGAAAAACCTGTGGTAAGGACAGATCAGGCTCAGCAGAAACTCTCCTAGGGCCATTACCTTATTTGAATTGTCTAAAAAAGAGGACATTCTGCAGAATTTATTTAGTTTTGCTCTTCTGCCCTTCACCCACCCAGCACACTTTACCTCTCTTGAGTGTTGCTCCCTTTTACACTTTCCATCTTAATGTGTGGAAGCTAGGTAGGGCATAGATGGGACTGCAAGCCCAATCGTAGTTGCTATCCAGCTCGAGCCCTTCGCATGTCCAAACAAAGGCCCGATTGCAGCTTGTGTCCTTGCCACTGGCCACTTCTCCTCCGTCTCCTCAGGCACTGCAGAAGCTACTGCCTCCTTCAACTTCTGCTACACTTCAGTTCAGCTCAGTTCAGTTAGTGCACAGGGAACCAGAAGATCAAAGGGCTTCATGTTGAACTTCAGAAGATCAAAGAGCTTCAGAAGATCAAAGAGGTCATGTTGGGGGAAAGCACCCCCTCATTCCTCTTGCTAGGAAGAGAAGCTGGCTTCCAGTCTGTTGCTCTGCCAAGGGCCTCAGCATCCCTCCTGCGGCAGAAATCCCTTGACCCACCAGGGGCGTCCACAGGGAGGGAATAAAAAAAATCAAGATGGTAGCCACAACCATGCAATCAAAGCCCCGCCCCTTTTTATGTGCATTGTGGCAATGTAAAAAAAAGGGGTGGGGCTGATTGCACGGCTGTGGCCATTCTCTTGACTTCCTTGACCACCCCCCAGCAGATATCCCTGCCCCGCTCACAGCCACATATGGCAAAATCCTGAATATATCCCAGGAAATGCCTCCATGAGGTAACTCTGTCAGAAGTATGGCAAGCTGCAAAACAGAACAAAACAAAAACTTATTTTAAAGGTAATTAAGGTCTTGATATTTGTACATAAGAATTATTGCAGTTTTATAAATCTAGACCCAGAGGCAGAACCTGAAATTCCTTGGGCCACATGAGCACTCAAAAATCTTAGATACGCTTCCCACAAATATTTTTAAACGTTTTACCAAAATGGTTTTTTAATGAAGTACAAGCAGAAAAATAATAGTATATGATGGGAACATCATCTTATTAAGTATATTTAATCAGATACGTGTGTTACTGAAGTGAAGTTAAATATTGTTTTTGCCCTGGCCTCACTAGCGACCTTCTGGTGTAGGCACCAGAAAAAGCCATCGACCTCTCAGACAGACCAAAGAGTGAGGATTCCTTGAAGCAAACTTGGCCACTTTAAGATGAGTGGACTTCAACTCCCAGTTGCTACGCTGGCTGGGGAATTCTGGGAGTTGAAGTCCACTCATCTTAAAGTGGCCAAGTTTGGACAACACTGCCTTAAAGGCATTTCTCACACCTGGTTGTTTTCCACTCAGTGAACACATGAGTGGGGACAAGATAACAGCTTCCTTTTTCTTTCCTTCCCTACTTCAGGGTTGGGCAACCTCCAGAAATCCATTGGTGGCCACCAGCACCCCACGTTCCCAGCAAAATGGGCAAACTTTGGGCTGTGACCTTGATCCATTTTCTAGGTTGAATTATCAAGAAATGCAGCATTTACCTTTGGGAGATGTTCTACTCCCTTCCCCTTCCTGAGAAACCGTCACAATAGCCAAACCATTCCTGCCAGGCTCTTCCCAGGGATATCAAGCATTGTCAGAGAGTGTCTTGTAACCCTCTAAATGTAAGAAACTGCCATGCTCAGTTCCCAATGAAAACAACTCCCCTTGAAAACTGATGCAGGTTCAAAGAAAAGTTCATGTATTGAGAAGTAGTGTACAGCTTCTAAAGCATTGCTGAAACTAAAGCCCGTGTGCGCCAAAAGTCGATTTTACCCCCTTCCCAGTGCACCTTCTCCCTTCTGTCTGTTTTATTCTCATTTGCCATCCTTGCTCCCTTTCATACAGTGACAACCACGAACTCAAGTGCAGAGCCCCTGGATTGCTCTTGCCTCTCCAGACAGCAGTGTTGAACCCAGGTCTTCTCTAGGGTCTCCTTCTTCGAGAGTCTGATTTCCCTACAGGCTTTCATGTCAGCCTGGCCCACATCTGTTAAAGGCAAATTTCCTTGAGTAAAAATCTGCCCAAAGCAATGAATGAGATCCTGACACACACAATTATAAGTGGTTTATTCATGCTAACCATGCATCTTTAATGCAAAAGGGAATCTTGAAATTCACAGGTATGGTGAAGTATTTCTCAGTCGTGAGAATGGACGATTGGGCTCCAAGTACAAGAAAGCAGTTTATAGGGAATACACAGATGGGACGTTCAAGACCCCAAAGAGCAGAACGGGTGCTGAGGAACATCTAGGGATATTAGGTAAGCCGTTAAAACTTATGGGTATGACTTCATTCCAGCTAGATAGAATCTTAAACCCATTTCTGTACGTTATTTTCAAAAGCGTATCTTTTTTGTCCGCTCCTGATAGGCTTTTGCAATTTCTCAACCAGGAGATTTGCACCCCAGAAATGACACAGTTCTCTTTGAAGTATAAAGAGTCCTTGACTTACAACCATTTTTTCAGCAACCATTCAAAGTTAAGATGCCACTGAACAAATGATGGTTATGATCAGTCTGGGAGTTCTGGTCATCCCAGCACCCTTGCAATCAGCTGATTGTGATCTGGGCACTGGCAACCGGTTTCCACTTATGACCGGGTGCAGCACTTCGCAATCACATGATTGCCATTTGCAACCTTCCCTGCCAGCTTCCCCAGAAAGTCAATGAGGGAGCCAGCAGGGAAAGTCACAGGTCACTGTGGTAAGTCTATACCACCCGCACACCCTCCCTCCACCCTTCATGCTGCACCAGCCACTTGTGCACCCTCACACATCCTCCCCGATCCGTGCTGCATGCTTGTGCACCCTCCCCAACCCGTGCTGCACCTCTCGTGCACCCCTTCACCCCCTTGCACACCCCTGACCTGCACCGTACCTCTTGCACACCCCCTTGCACCCTTCCCCACCTGGCAGCAGCCACTTACCTGCCTGCCGGCCTGGGACTTGCAACTTCCTGTCAGCTTCCCACTGCCTTTGGTTGTGGGAAACCGGCAGGAAGTTGCCTCACCTAAAGTCCATGGGATTTGGTTAACGACAGCAACTGGGAGTGCAGGGATTGCCGTCATTAAGCTATGAGGTCTCGCTTTATGACCCCATCACTTAGCGACAGAAATTCTAGTCCCAATTGCCATCGTAAGTCTAGGACTACCTGTAAAGAGTCCACATCATTTGCACTGACAAAGTGCTTTGGGTTGCTTCAGAGCTCCTCCCCGCCTCCCCCCTCCCACCTTTCCAATGTCCAGAGAGCTTTTGCGATGGCGCCATGCCTGGGGGGAGTCGGAGGAGAAGTGCGCGTGCCACAACTTTTGGATCGCTCACCCCAAGCTTTGGAGAAGTGCGATGGAGAACGTGCCTTTCTGCCTTCTCTGGCACCGCTCACCAAGGCCTGGGAAGAGTGGGCCAGAGAAAGCAAAAGGTGTATTTCTGCAGCCTCATTGTGGCTCTCAGCAGCAGCCCAGGGAGGCTGAGTGGTGCCTCCCCAGAAAGATTCTTGGCTGGCGCTGCCCGGGAAGCAACGGGGGCCAGTGGAGCAAAGCAAAGTAAGGTGGCTGCTTCTCTCAGAAGCAAAGCGGTTACAGCATGTCGCTTTCTGAAGCTGCTTGGAGGGAGTGCTGCGCATTAAAGTTCGCCAGAAGAAACCCCCTGCCAAAGTTTTGCAGAGCCCTAATTCCTAGCCACTGTTTTGCTTTGCCCTTCCCGCCTCCAGGTCCCTTTCTTTGGGCAGAAGTGGGAGATGTTCTCAACATAGTTTTTAGGAACAAGGCTTCGCGGCCTTACTCCATTCATGCCCACGGAGTCCTGGAAAAAAACAACAGGGGCTCGAAGACAGCATTGCCTGGTGAGTCTTGCCAGCATTTGCTTGGCAACCTGCATGCCTCGATTTTGTTTCTTTATGTGCTACCTGTGTGTGTGTGTGTCAAAAACTCCAGAGGGCAGCCACAACTGCCCCGCCTTCCCTAAGACTGAGAAACCTAAATAATTATGAGTTTTCAATGCAGCCCTAAAACTGTAGCCTTTGTCAGTCCACAGGATTGCAGTTTCTGGATGGATGGGGAGGGGGATCAGGGATTTTGGGAGAGAAATTCCTGGTAAGAAAAATTCTAATGTTTCCTTCCTGCCTAGAATTTTTTTTTCCTGATTCAAAGAATTCAGAGTATCGGGTATCAGGCTGGGTCCACGAAGAGGCATGTAAAAGGGAGCGGGTCTTTATGCAGCCATGGGGACCCTCTTGACTTTTTTCACCTACTCTGTGTTCACCCCCCCTCCCTGTCTTTCTTCCAAGGAGTGTGTAGATGTCTCCCTTTTCCTCCCTCCCCCCTTTTTTTATTTTGCTGGTCAGTGGCCATAATAAAGATCATAGTACCCCATTTTTATCTATGCCAGTGTTTCTCAACCTTGGCAGCTTTCAGAGGGGTGGACTTCAACTCCCAGAATTCCCCAGCCAGCTGTGCTGGCTGGGGAATTC